GCTTGACCCACCACAAGAATATCGGTAGAAGTAGAGGCCGGGGAACGGGCTGAGAAAGTATCCCCAACACCCGGTTGAGAAGACGAGGCAGGTCCGCTAGAACCAACATTTCCCCCATCTGTCGGGAGCAATCCAGCAAGCTCCCGCATACGTTTTTCAGATACGGGAGGGGGAAGAGTCTTCACAAGGTCAACCTCCCGGTGACAAAGCTTACCTCGATAATGGCCACACAAGGCCATCTCCAAGGAAATCTCGGCTTCAACACCTGCAAACACAAACACTAAGCATGAGAACTGACAGACCAACAAAATACTATGTTCTTATTCTTGTAAAAAAAAGGGGGGGGAGAGGGAGATGAGCGAATACCATCTCTCATGACGAGTAATTGTGCCATCTTCCCACACGCCCTCCAGGCAGCTCTCATGCCGGCTGCGACAAGGATGAAATCCTTCCATGAGAGACCCCTTCTCTAAAACCTTACCATATTACTCCAAACATGCTACATGCATATTCATTAACATAATTTACATAGATGGTCTATTTACAAAAGACTGGATACAAACCGACTATTAAGATTTTTACAAAGTTATATATATATATATATATATATATATATATATATATATATATATATATATATATATATATATATTACATAACTACCCATGAATTTATAATTCATATACATACATGAACACTAAGTACAAAAGTAATAGTATTAACTATTCTAAATCTTCCAACAGTACATGTCTATAATGGATGCTTATCACCTGCAATAGTTAAACACTGAGAGGGATAAGCGGGTGACGCTTAGTGAGTTCAATAACAGTTACAATATAAAGCTATGTCATATATATATATATATATATATATATATATATATATATATATATATATATATGACAGAAACAAAGAGAGACAAAGAACAACAAAGGCATTTGTGTATCATATGACAGGCTTTCTATATCAACCCATGATTGGATTCAAAGATTTACGATCAATGAGACACAATAATTTCAACATGATATACATCATAAAGCTTCAGCCCAAGTGGCACATAAAATAAACAATTTATGATTATCATTTTGCTAGAATATACAGGCTTTCAGCCCTACCTATCCCTATGCCAATACCAAAAGTGATACGAGTCATGCTTTACATGGCCAAAGGCATAAAGCCAATACCAAAATTGATACGAGACATGCTCTACATGGCCAAATGCATATTACCAATACCAGAATAACACGAGACATGCTCTACATGGCCAAAGGTATAAAACCAATACCAGGATAACACAAGAAAGCATATTGCACATATTTCACATAACATACAATTGTCCCTATATTGAACTCACCGTGAAATAACCGAATGATAAAATGGTGATTTGGACAGCACTTCGTTTCTAGAAACGACTTTCTTTGACGAAACTGGGAGTTTGATTGAAAACTGGGCTTTGCGCGGGCAGAGTTTCAACTGAAAAGATACTTTTCTCGGGGTCTTCGGGTGCTTCGGGACTTGCTTCGGGTGTTAGGGAGGTTCCCTAGGCTTCGGGGGGTGTTAGGATAGCTTGAGCGGTGTTTTAGGGTAAATGAGTGTGAAATTTAGTAAACAAAATCGGGAGGTCTCGCTTTCTATTTATAGTAACTGAAGTCTCGCATTACGTTGTGCATAGTCCTCGGTACGCTGGGCGTACCTCGTACGCAGCGCGTAGAAGGAAACGTGGCATGTGTTCGGTTCCCGGGCCTCAGACGTGCCAACGTTGCGAGATGTGTGTCTTCCGTCCAAAGAAAGAGGTGACGTGGCCAACTCCAGACCTAGCTTCCTCGTATGTTAGGCGTAATCTCGTACGCTGGGCATACGACTTCGGTCAGACCTCACAGTTTGTGTCTGAAACTTCAAAAATTCATAACTTTCGCATACAAGCTCCGTTTTTTTATGTTCTTTATATCCACGCGTAGGTGAGATTATACTCTACAACTTTCGTTTAGACTCCGTCGGCTAATTTTGACTTTATTTTTAATATTACATTTTTAACAGGTCGGGACAGGAAAAGTCCGTTAAAAGTTCATAACTTCTTCACCCAACATCCGTTTTTGTCTGTCTTCTTACCGTTGAACTACTATTGACGAGACCTTCGATTCTCGTTTAGGTTGTGTCAGCTAAAAATTGCTCGATCTATAATTCGAATTTCGAGCTGCACACTATTATGCTGAATTTTAGAAAAATTATAACTTCCTCAGACGAACTCAGATTTGGACGTTCTTTTATGAAAGCTCTCGGTTGAACGAATACTACGACTTTCATATAGATAACTAAAGCTAAAAAGTAGTTTATTGTAAACTCACTTTTTACGTCATATGGCGTCGTGCCGGTTCTGTCGTGAAACTTTGATAAATCATAACTTCTTCATTATAACTCGGATTTTGGTGAGGTTTTCGCCTAAAAGTTTCTAACGAGATAATTTACAACTTTCAATAACATTAGTTTTACTTATTTCCAACTTAAATGTTATATTTTCGTTAATTTCGATAGTTGACTTTTTGATCTGAATCTCATAAGACTTCTAATACTTTCCGAATTATTCTAAACATAGTTTTACTTCAAATCTCATAAAACTATCTTGTTAGAACTCAATGCTCAAAACCATATAATATTTAATAATATTCATTTTTAAGCTAACAAGCTTACAAAACACGATAATTGAACAAGGTTATTAACGTGTATGTTACATTCTAGTTCTCCCCGACGACAGTAATGTTTCCCATCCGTTTGCCAAGAACTAGGTTATCCCCGAATAGCTTGGGGAGACGGTCGGGAAAGTCTTGGGTGTTACGAAACCCGTGCCCCACAAGGTTTCAGTTGACCTAGAGCCATTGTCTCTGCCAATTTTTCTTCGGATTATCTTGCTCAGAGATCAAATGACGAATGCCCCACCTTTTCGCCAGTGTGCGAACGCCAGAGTTCGTAGATACACAAAAGAAGTAACTGAAGACCCAAAAAGTGGGTATAAAACCCAGGGAACAACAGATCAGTTCGTAGCCCACGATCTTATTGACGGGACTTGGGGTTAATTCGTCAACAGAAAAGCCGTAGTGGTGCACAATCATATCAAAGAAGTTAGACGTTGGCAGGTGTAACCCCGCTTCGAACAAAGGAACAGGAACCCCCACTTTCCCTCGAGGGCAGTCATAGATCGATTATGCCTTCGCCGGAATCATCACGCCATGCTGTGGAAAGAAATCAAATTGTTCTTGCGGTAGTCGAAATTCCTATACGTTAGGGACTCTGCCGTTTCAATCCATCGTTAAGAACGGATGAGTGATGAAAAATAAAAATCACAACATGCCCGAGTTACTACAACGAAAGCAAGAAAAGAAGGCAAGGGTGAAAAGTCTTGAGTAAAGTGGGGATGATAAAGCTAAAACTGGTGTCACGAACCGTCTCATGATGGATATGACACATATCGACGGCGCTGTCTAAGTCTGTCGAATGCCAAAAATAATCTCAGACATACACGTGTTGTAATGTAGGCTCGAACGGCGACGCTACCAAGCTAACGCATACGCATACAAGCCTAAGGGACTTGTTAACGTATCCCTCAGGAAAAACATTAAAGAAGAAAAGTCAAACTAGCGCCAAGCTTGGTCTAGTTAGAGTCTGGTCATACCCAGTCTGAGGCCAAGGCCGGGCCTCCGCCTGCATGGACTCACTGGTATGGCGGTTAAGGGGCATAATTGTGCCTTACCCTCTTCTCCCCAGGAGGAATACCCCGGAAAACATGGAGCCAATCAGAAAGCTCCACTTGCCTATCTGACGACAACCACGATCATCATTATATCGAAGATTCCCCTCTAGCCAATGGGGGAACGAGATAGAAAGACATGATGGAGGATCCTTCAATACGGATCCGCCACGTCTCGTCTCACGAGGGAAGGCTCCACAGAATCAGTTAGGAGGCTCATGTCTCTCGATCAGGTATAAAAGAACCCTTCTTCCCATGGAGAAGGGGACTGGACTCTTTTTCTCACAGACATTCTCTATCCTCTCTCGGAATCAATTCTAACTTGATCGTCGGATCTTCGTCCTGGGAACCACTCCCGGACGTTGTCTAACGATCATCTCTTTTCTTTGTACTGTGATATCAGGAGAAGGAACCAGCTCGACACCCACCCTTGATCTCAATCCTACCATCTCCGAAATATCACAACAGAATCAGCCCCTGTTGATCGTCGGAGCTTCGTCCATTTACACCATCAACGATTGATTACGATGACGTCCTTGTTTGTGGGTTTTTTTTCATGAATGGAATTGTTGATATGGCGGACATAAATCCATTGCTCTTACTTTTCCTATCTCTAAACTTGCTCCATTTGTTTCATATGGTCTTTGACAGAGATTGTGAACGTGATTCAGGTCAACCCCTTTTTCGATTTTTATTTTTCGTACTTTTTCAATCATATTCTTGTTTGGCTGCTGAATGAACCCATTATTTTGTTGTTTGGTTCACGTTGTAACTATTTCTTGCTTCATTTTTATTTATCATATAAGGGTATGAATGGAAACTGTTCCACCACTTTTGATTTTAGAAATTGAAATACTGTTACTTTTGTATTCCAATTTTCCATTGATTCTAATAGAATTGGATGTGAACATTTAGAATCTATGATTTTGTGGAAGTGAAGAAGTGGTACTTAGAGATGGTTGGGAGTAAAGACTCATACACACGTTTTACATGAAAATCCAAATTAGATCTATGTTTATGGCAGAGAGTGTTGGGTCCAGGCTTGGCAAAAAAAATAAAAAGATATAATTAAAATAGGGTATAATTGTCATTGAACATAAATATCAGTGCACGGATAAAAAAATTTCTATGGAAAAATCAGTCCCCAACCAATATATGTCACATTTAAAACAAGGGGAGTGCTTTTAATTAACATCGAACAAGATTAATTAGCCAGTTAAAATTAAGTTTAAGACATTGAAACTTTCATGGCTAAGCATTAGGTAGACAAGTCTTCCCGCGTAGCCTGTGTTAATACTCTTTCATGACTTGAATCCAGTGTGGTTGATGCTGAGGTTCCTTGGCTATACCTTGTTGGAGATGACCAGAAACGTTTAGTTGGAACATGCAACGACTGAAAGCTTCCTTCCAACATCTCCACAACTTTACTTATAGAAGGCCGATCCGATGGATCAGACTGGATGCACCACAGGCTCACCATCACCATCTTCTTAGCTAATTCCTCATCTTCTTCTGTTTTCACCCCATCAACCTCTACATTTTCTCCATCTTCTAGTTTCCTGTACATTGTATCTGGAAAATATATTGCACTCATGTTTGTTGTGCTAGCGATATTTTCCTTGCATGCACCAGTCATTTCAAGAACCATCATCCCAAAGCTATACACATCAGACTTATGAGATGCCCCTCCAAGTCTCTTTAAAAATACTTCAGGGGCCATGTATCCAGCAGTTCCTCTTGCACCCGTAACTGATACAATACTTTCCTTTCTCTTGCACAACTTAGCCAAACCGAAATCAGATATTTTAGGGACAAACTCTTCGTCCAATAGAATGTTGTGTGGCTTTATGTCAAAGTGTACAATCCTTGTGTTACAATGTTCATGTAGGTATTCCAAACCTCGTGAAATCCCTTTTGCAATTCTAAATAATGTGTTCCAGTCTAGACGAGATTCATCATGACGTAGAAACTTTTCCAAGGATCCATTTGGCATGAACTCATATATCAAGGCTCTTTTGTTTCCATCAAAGCAGAAACCCAAGAGCGAGACTATGTTGACATGAGAAGTTTTACCAATGCTACCGATTTCATTAATGAAATCTTCTCCATCTCCCATGGCTTTGCCCAAGAGCTTTACTGCAACTAGTTGCCCATCAGGCAATTGTCCTTTGTAGACACTTCCATAGCCTCCTTGTCCCAGTTTCTCAACGAATGAGTTTGTCATTTTCTTGATTTCTGAATATCTAAATCTATTTGGAGCTATAGGTCCGTAGTCCCGTATGAATATTTCTATTTGATGATTTCGAGAGGTTCCCTGTTGTCCAAACCGGATGCTGCATTAGGTTAGGAATCATGAAATCTAACAAAGTCATTATTGTGGTCTATGGAGATTCTTACCAATAATCGAGGCTTTCTATGTGGTCGGATGAGACCTTGAGTTTTCCATCTTTTTATTCGAAAGAACGTCACCAACAATATGATCAGGATTCCTGCAATGGCACTTGAAATGCCTGCACATAATATTTACATGATTTGTCAATGAGGAATAACTTGTCTTCGGTTTCAATAAAAGCAGCGGGACATTTTGTGTTTAATTTGATTCCAAAACTATTGGTAAATGTCTTTTTAATTAAACAATTTGGTTGACATAGACAAAAGTTTGTCTGCTTACCTATAATAAGCTTCAACGATGCAGCTCCCATGATTCCTGTTAAGAAGAAGGTAACGTATTGGAGATCAGACCATGAGCAATAAGCAACATCGATGAAAGCTACTTAATGTGAATCAAAATGCATGAAATAGGAAGAATTATAAATACTCTTGTCAAACGAATCTATAAAGATACCTACTTGACAGTTTGCATCTGTTTCTGGTTTGACAATAACCTAAACAAAATGTGAATCTACAACATTGGAAATCACGTACCTCCACTTCCGTTTGTATTGTTACAAGTTAACGAGAAAATCCCATTATCACAATAGCAAGCAAACAATTCAGGTGAAGTCGAGTTGGAGCCACACCGACCATTTGACCTCATACACTGATTGCACTCAACGTCATTCGCTATCCATATTAAATCGAAACCAGCCATCAAAGCTGGTCTCAGTTCATCTGCTGTAGCAAATGGCGACGCTAATCGACCAGCAAGATATTGCTTCACGGGTACAGTGATGTAATTCTGACACTGTCGCAGGAAGCTTGTCATGTTGGAAACTATCTGATTGGTCCTAAGGAAATAACCATCACTTTGGGTGTCATTCACATTGCAACTAAACAGGTGATTAGCACCCAACGGAATCGTGGGTGTACTAGTATTGCACCCGTAGTACAAAGACACATTCTCCTGATCACCAGAAATGTCGACGCCGAAGAGGGTCGAGTCGTAGGAGGTGTTGTATAGATATTCAGGGCAAAAGTCATCCCAGAGATCGTTTCTAGCAATGGTGATTGTCTGTGTACTTGTATCCGTATCCAGAATTTGGTAGTTAACTGACTGGTAACTGAGTAGGGAAACATTAGATTCGCAGGTTAGCTGAAACCCTGGGTAGCCGCAGTATGCCGGACGACCTGACCCCCAAAATGGGTAGTGTAGTCGGAAGTCTCCACACTGGACAACCTCGCCACAAACATCATATGGCCGGGATTCTTGGCATGAGATAGCCGGAAAAGAGACAACGATGACGATAATCACTGTGAACGTGATGAAGATGGGTCGTGTCGGGTGTAGACGGGGATTCATGGTGGTGGGAATAGAACGAGATGTAATAGTTAATTAGGAACGACGAATGAATTAGAAAGGAAGTTAAGTGATGAAAATGGGAAAAAGGTGTTAGATTATTTAATCGTCCATTATTGTCAAAAAGAAATAAAACGCGTTTTTTAATATTAAAGAACTAAACACAATACAAGCTTCTTTGACTAATGAATATTATGTTTGACGTCGGTCTAAACGCAATTATTTGCTGTTGGAATATTCCAGAAGATTCAAGACGAGGCATTTGATTTTGTTTCGGATCTAGTTTCTTTCCTTTCTTGCAATTGGTAGAGATAGACATACAATTAATTAGTCCTGTTTTCTGGCATAAGTAGGAATTTATTTTAATGTTTCGGTGTGATTTTTGACTTCAATAAAAGACCCACCAGAAAGCATGTCCCAAAATACTAGGGGTGGCAATTTATGACACGACACGACAAAAATACACGACACGAAACGAAATTGGGACGAAACTGAATTCTGAATTCGTTTTCGTGCCGTGTTCGTGTTAAGTGTAAAAAACACGATGTTATGTCGTGTCGTGTTCGTGTTCAAAATTCGACACGAAATTGACACGATTTAGCATTTCCTTGTCGTGTTTTTCGTGTTTGTTGTGTTGGTCGTGTTATGTATGATTAAGTATTCATTGAATAAACTAGTTTTTATTTATTTTATCTTTGTCGTGTCGTGTCGTGTTTGTCGTTTTTTAATTCGTTCGTTTTCATGTTAGTTAAAAAAAACACGACATCGTGTCGTGGCGTGTTCGTGTTACATAAAACATTGTCGTGTCGTGTCGTGTCGTGTCAGACAAAAACACGAAACAATAGCACGATTTGCCACCCCTACAAAATACCTCGGTGCAAAGAGAGTCGAGACGAATATTAACTTATATTTATGATGAGTGTGACAAGCTAATATTTTACAAGCTAATATCTTTATGTCTAAATATCTTTATAGAATGATATTTACTAATGACATATGATCCTATAGGGTCACACCTTATAGCAAATTACTACTAATTGATTATTTATTAAAGTAATTTGATTATTAATAAATATAATCAACACTTGTATTTAATTGATTTTTTTGTGAAATAATATTTTACCAAGATGTAGGGAATTATTGTTTATAGGAAATAGTAATAATGGAGAAACATTAACATGTTATATTCATAAGGCACGAATATATATGCCATGTACATATTACCATCTAGTTGTACATGTAACTAGTTAGTTCAAGCTTAAGTGTAAGATACACCATGGTCCTATATATTCTCATCAAAGTCATGGCCTTGCAACACTACTAGAAAACTGGTTTAATAGCTACAACACAATCCGTAGCTATTTCATAGCTATAAGCGGATAGCTATGGAATTGCTACGCAAAAATGTCTGTAGCATAATGGCTCGTGGCTAAATTATAGCTACTGATTAGCTACGGAATCACTACGGAATAGCTACAGAATTTTCCGTAGCTACCATAGCTACAGAATAGCTACGGAAATAAATAGCTACAGATTTCCTATAGAATAACTACGGAATTGAATAGCTACGGAATAACTACGTAACTAAATAGCTACGGAATAGCTACGGAAGTAAATAGCTACGGATTTTTTGTAGTTAATCCGTAGCTAATTACTTTTTATTTAAAAAAAAACAATAAATTTTTTAAATAAAAAACAATTAATTTGGTCAAAATGAAATAAAAATTCATTACATTAACACATTACAAAAACATCATCTATACAACAAAATGTAAGGGCTATTTACACATTACAATAAAAAAAACAATTAATAAATATTACAATAAATATCATCTATACAACAAAATAAAAAATTTGGTCAAACTTAAAAGTATGTTGCTATTTACAACCCTTACAGTGCACTGATGCAGTGATACCAGGCGTACTCTTCCTCATTTGGGCCTAACAAAACAAAAAATTTATAAGTTATTCAAATTTGTTGTATAACATAAAATACTTAATTGATAATTCTACTCTTACTCACCCAGATTTTCTAGTTTAATAGCCTTGAATCCAACCTCATCTTCACTTGTCAAAAATTGTCTACGAGGATCAATGCTTATAACCACCGCCTTTAAAATAAACATAACATATTTAGATGCAAAACATTAAATGGACAATAATGCCCTTACTTCTAAATGACAAGATTTATCAAAATTTCACATGTTTGGATTTAACTTTCCTCTTCCTCACAATCCCAGGTTAACATTGATATCGTCCTCAGTCTTCGAGTCTTTGTTTAGTCCTTCAATACAACTCGTTGCAACAACCAAAGGAAAGTCATTGTGTTTTGACAGCACCATCAACAACTGCAATCACAACCACAGAGGTCCTGGAAGAATTAAAATGGAAAATGTTCATTAGCTAAATTAAAAGTGAGAAATCTATTTCAGAAATGAATGTATCAACACCATAAATATTGAATCTCACCAAAGCAACATAAGGGGCAAAATAGGAAAAATATGACTTGGAAGGAGGAAGCCACCTCATAGCAAGAATATACAACACCAGAAAGCTTCATGAAGGACAACCAACCAACAACCATTACACAATTCAGCTATGAAACCCTGTAGGAGAATAAACAACAAGAATTTGCTCAACAATATCAAATTAAACATCACAGAAAACAGTTGCTGATACACTCTACAAAAGATGTGAAAACGGAAGAAAATCAAGAACGAAGATAAAGAGGGCAAATAGGAATAGGGCCAAAGTGAATGCAACAAAACAAATGTCTGTAACTGCTCCAAATCATGGAGGTATACAAATCAAAGTAGAACAAGAAGCACAACTTTGATAAATAAAAATTTAGATTCTATGAACTTATGAAACAAACACTTCATAAGAAAAAAAAATTGAGCATGAAGTAATAGAGTAGTAGAAAAAAAACGAAGTAATCGAGCATTAGAAATCGAAAACTCACATTGCGGTTGTATACATGAAGTAAATATCAAAAAATAAAAAAAAAAGTTCAGGGTTTTACTTGGAGATGAAATCGAACAACAGAGAATAAAATTGAGCAGTAGACCGCCAGAGATATGCGACTGAGGAAGTAGAAATCGAAAACTCACTGCAAGGTAAAATTGAGCAGTAGACCGCCAGAGATATGCGACTGAGGAAGTAGAAATCGAAAACTCACTGCAAGGTAAAATTGAGCAGTAGACCGCTAGAGATATGCGACTGAGGAAGTAGAAATCGAAAACTCACTGCAAGGCATACGTTTCGTGGAGTGGTGACAGCAAGGTCGATGCTAAAGCGGTGATGGTGATGTCGATTGCAGATGAGATTGAAGACGAAAAGGTGGGAGATTGGAGGCGGCCGGATTCGGGAGGGAAACAAAACCTCAAAATATTTGGGTGAAAAGCAAGCGGGTAAACAAAACCTAGACATATTTGGGAGGCTAAAAAAACGTAAAAAAATGGGGACAGTAGGATTCGAACTCGGATATTGTA